TTGAGAAAATAATGTGCTGATTAATCAGTAATAATACTTTGTTGCAGCCCTTTTACTTATAATAATACAACCATGGACAAGTCGTGTTTTATTGTGTATGGAAACACCATGCTCATGAAGAAGTAATGATAATGAATGATTGTAAAAAAGGATGGCTATACTTTAATGGATTTCACTACATTGACAAACATTTATTACCTGGACATTATTTATATTGTCAGACCCTTTCTTCTCTTTAAACCTGTTGGTGGTTTCAGGTACATATAATTTTTGTCACCATTAAATTAAACTAAAATCCTGTAAAAAAAAAAAATCATACATTTATTGACATGTGGTTGATTTCACTCGTTTTTCCAACAGAACAACGCATTTAAAACACGCAAAAACGGGTAAATGTGCACAGTTTGAGCACGATTAAAAATATGTTTTTTGTTTAAAAAACGTAAAACGTTTTAAGCTTCCTCGGTAAACGAGGTTGAGTTTGGGGGTCATTTGGACCACCGGTGTCTGTTCCTTCGAGGCAATCGTTTCAGTTTAGCATCCTGGAATTTACGCATCTCAGCATCGGGTTAATAGGCCGCCTTATAACGGCTGAAAGCGCATTAAGGGGCGTCAGTTTGGCCGCCGCAGGGACCCTCTGAAACACGGAGCGTACAGACCGCACCCGACCACGGGGCCTTCTATCGTCGGCTAACAACACCAACCAAAACACCCAACATCTACCCCAACCACATAGCTCTTAAAGTTTAACGGGCTTAGCGCACAAGGAGAAAAAAAAAAAAAAAAAAAAAAAACACGGGGGGAAACCATCATTCACACAGAACACCTCCGGATTAATTTTACAACACAATAAAAAAAAAAAAAAAAAAAAACCAGCGACCCCGCCAAACGTTTTAACACGAACGGGAAAAAAAAACAAAACCACCGTCCAGAACCGAGAGTATATGTTCGGGTTTGGCGTTTTTCAGTCGGCCTGCTACAGCTACGCCCTCCTTGTCGCATTCCCCTGCGGAATTTTTAAGATGGAGAGATAGATTACCGCCAGCTAGCCGGCCAGCTAACATGCTAACCCGAACGTCACAGAACGGCCGTTAGCGTTCGGCTCTTAGCTTAGCTGCTAACGGAACCCTGACCCGAATGAATGTGAACGGCGGTACAATGGGAGAGCTGAGGCAGCTGGAGGGGGGTTAAATGCGGCGTTTGTTTCGCCGGGAGTTCAATGATATCGAAAAGGGAAGGTTTTTTTTTTTTTTTAAAAGATATAAAAAAAACAACAACCATCGCATTTTGCGGGGAAACTCCCGGGAAACAGGGAGGGTGTGTTAGCATCGACGGATCGGAGCTAAAACACATCGCCGATTACGCTGCTCCGCGAAATAAAGAGGCGAAACGCAGCAGCAGCTCGGTGGCGTTACTCGGCTTTTTAAACGTTATCCACCCAGCCATTGTAGCGCCACTTAACACTGGCTGCTCTCCGTGCCTCCGCTGGGCCCTGGCTGCGGCCGCTAAGCTGTCAAAATGGCCAAACTTGGGTTGCTGCTTCTCCCCCCCCCTCCTCCCCTCCACTACCTACACGGTCACCGCGCACCACGCATGGCATCGAGCGGAGTGCAGGCCTTGAAATTCACCGATCCGTAGCCCACTCGACAGCACACCGAGCACAGGCGACACCCCGGCGGGCGTTTTACGGGTTATTTCTCGCCATTTGGCCACAAAGTCTCGGCCTAAATTCGCGCACCCAGCCCCTAACCACAATAGGCACCTTCCGCCGCAGAGGCAGGGAATGGGGCCACCGCTGGGACCGCTCCTCCCAGCGAAAGAGCCTCCTTACCATGTACATAAGACAATAATCGACTGATATGCAGGTGAACTCACATTTAGAGCGTACAAGGAATCCCGATTTTATTCTCTGAACGATGGGAGTTTATGAAGCCGTCCTCCGCTCGCTGCTCAGGGTATTCAGGGCAGTACCACTTCCGCCTGCTCTGACACTTCCGCTTCCTCTAAACCCCACCCCTCCCCCCGCCAGTATCCATGGTGACCGCGCCAGGGGGTTTCCTGAGCATCTTGCGAGGGGCTTTGACGTCAGGCGGGCCATGGCAACCGCTACAAGATGACGTGCGCCGGTCTCCACGGCAACTGTCTCCATGAGGCCCGCTGCCGTCGTATCTGAGTTCACCATCGTGTCAGCTGACACAGCTTTGTGTGGGTTACACTGATTTTCTTTTTCTTTTTCTCTCTTTCTCTTTCTTTTTTAATGCTTTATAACAAGCAGGTCTGTTTCTCTCCCACCACACACACCTACACACCCACTGCAACACCCTGAACACACAGTCCACCATCAACCCACTGTTTCATCTCTGCACTACGCTATCTGCAGATTTTGTGAATTTTATCGTACAAAATATAAATAAATAAAGATACGAGAAGACGAAAGCAGATCTCTCGTTCACTCACTCTCTAGCCTAATACGGTGGTTCTCAACCTCGGGTTCAGGGACCCCCAGGGGTCTGTAAGGGTGTTCTTGGGGGTCCCCAGATAAATATTTTATTTTCACTATTATTTAATTGGCTGAAAATTAGCCCAATGAGAGAATGTATGTTCATACGTTCCACACAGTTATGAAATAATCAGATGGGTCCACGGCCTGATGTGTATCAATTTGGGGGTCCTCGGCACCAAAAGGGCTGAAAACCACTGTCCTAATAGAGTAGTTTATCTCAAAAGAGTGAAAAGAAAAGCACGTTTAGGCATGTGTTACGTGTTGTTTCATCCGGCCGCAGATGTTTTTTTTCCTGAATTAGAGTTTGTCCCAGTCTTTAGAGTAGAGTGATCATTAGAATAATCATTTCAAAATTTGGCAAGGCTGCATAAGAAAATTGTTTTTCATAGAGATGCACTTTAGCTTTTTTTATCCTATTGATTAATTTATTCATTTGGACAGCCGAGTGTTCAGGCAGTCCCCTATAGGCACTCTGCAACGTGACCAGTGACCTGCATGTAATCTCAGTTTGAGACTTGCTCTAGTGAGCAGTAAATTGAGATTTAGAACAATTGTGAAACATCAGCATTTCAACTAGATTAACTGTAAATAATATATATTTACGTATGTGTCAAATACAACGCTTTGCATTTTGGGGTTTGTAAAAAATGATAACCTTTTTTATGTAGTAAATAAGTGGTGATATCGGACATTGCCTATATAATAGTTTGTGGAACATAGAGGTCAATCTTTTATGGAAATCCATCAAATATTTGTCCCGGCATTTACTTTGAGCCCAGATTGTCCACCTGCTGGTGCTGCCAGATGTAAAGTCGTTGTCTGTACCAAATTCTGTGCCAATCCATCCAGTAGTCATTGAGGTATTTCAGTCTGTACCAAAGTCAACCATACGACCGATTGTCAGACACTGATCTACCAATTTGGATATCAAATGCTTGTAATTTTGTGACTTTTTAAACAATATCACAGAAGAAGGAACTAAATAATAATCAAATAATCAAAGAGTGGAGGTTACACAGAAAGAGTTAGAAGTTAGCAACTGGACTATAATAGATTGCCTGCTTTAAACGTCTGTGCTCTGTGTGATGTAAGTGGGAGTACGTATTTGTAAATACTGTTGGCCAGTGCATGTGTGTTTGTACATTTATATTGTGTTTGCATGTGCGTGGATGTATTATTGAACTGGCCCACCTGGCACAGGCCCAGAGGCTGTGTTTGATCAGGACGACTGCAAAGAGCCACAAAACGACTACAGACACAAAAAGACCACAAAGAGACGCAAAACAACTAGAAAAAGATGCAAAAACACTACAAAGAGATCCAAAGTGACTACAGAGAGACACAAAACAACTACTAAGAGACACAAAATGACCACTAAGAGACGCAAAACAACATCAAAAGGTCCAAAACGACTACAAAGAGATGCAAAAAAGGCCACATAGATCCAAAATGACTATGACAAGATGCAAAACTTTTGCAAAAATATGCAAAACGACTACACAAAGACCACAAGGAGAACAACAACAACAACATAAAGGTGCAAAATAAGCATTAAGAGACACAAATGTGCAAAAAACTACACAGAGAAACAAAATTACTACAAACTGATTCTGAACGACTACAAGGTGCTGCAAAACAACCTCTAAGAGAGGCAACGAGACACAAAATGACTATGAAGAGACACAAAGACAAAGTAAAATGACGTTTTGTGTCTCTTTCTGGGTTTTTGCTACTATCTAGAAGGGGTTGGGCGTCTTACATGCCCGTGTCCAGAGGCCCATTGTTTCAGTACCCGTTCATATGGATTACAATTTTATAAAACGTCATAAATTAATAAATGTGTACATTTATGATAAATGTTATCTCCCACATTACATTTGATAAAAATCACAATACAAAAAAATCCTGTTTATTATCCAACCAGTGTAAAGATTAGAAAAGAGCCAAAAGATACACAGTAAATAAAGATGAATATACAAAAATGAACAATAAACCATATGGAGTATGTATGTTTAATATAAAGAATGAGTGCAGCTATGTTATGGACTGTAAACAATAATACAAATAGAAATGAAGAGTTGAAACATGACAACATTAGACAGATATAGATATCTCAGGTGTCATTTTAAATGGAAACCATCCTAATGCGAGAACCTCTGTGTTTGTGTCTGTGAACAACTGCCTCCGCTGTATCACTGTAGTGTAAAACTACCATTTACAGGAGCAGCAATGTCGAGCTCGAGGCCACAGTGGCTGGAATCATTTCCTCATTTACAACTGACACATCTGTCAAGCAAGGTTAAACATCTGTTTGACACTGACATTCCTCTTTGACCCCCTCACACATTCAATAGTCTGTCCAGCTATATCAAATCAAATGTTGCTTCATGTCTGCACTTCTCTTACGTCTGCTGCAGGGTCCCTCTTTTGTGTTTTCTTCTTGATTTGGTGGCTTGTAGTGATGTTTAAGTAGTAACTCGATGTCTTTACCACACAGCAAGCAGAGATCACAGCAGGGACGTGCACAGACAATTTCAGTGGCTGCTGTAACCTGAAAAAAGTTGTGACCCATCAGCGTGTACCTGAATGGTGTAAAATATATATATTCAAATTTCTAAATAGTTTTACATTTTAAGGATGAATGAAAATGTAAAAACTGCACACTGTTAGTGTAAGTTAACACATTAATGTAGTGTGTTGTAACTGAGCAGCGATATGATTTTGTATCTTCCTCATCTATCAGTTTGTTTGTGAAGGACGTGTGTGGTGCAACTGTTTTAATACGGCACAATGGTCCTTCATTTAGTCACTTGTTATAGACAGCAGAAGCTAAATTCAATACGCTATGTTCAAGATTATTAGCTACTTGTGTTTCTGCAGCTACAACAGCAAAAATAAAATAAATTATTTCTCTTCCTGAGCTCAGCCAAAGAGGTCAAGTGAGTTGTTGGTCGGGCAACTTCAGCCCAACATTGTGCACGTCTATGTATAACAGAGCTGTTGTATACAAATGTTTGTTTACCTGAAAGTTCATGTAATTGTATTTACTCTACTGCACATAATACAGCACCTCTGCTTCATTCTTTACAGAGCCAGGGGTAAAATTAAATTATTTCATTAAAATGAATATTACTTAAGATAAGAATTAATAAGAAGCAGGTAATATACGAGTTTTCTAATCCCTGCTCCTTTTTGATGATTACTTGGTCACACATTACTGCTTATATATATATATATATATATATATATATATTATATTATAGTGTGAAAATGTTACAGTATATTCTGGCCTTTATGTAACAACCATCCCTCTGCCTCCTGAGCGTCATACGTGGTTGAGAGAAATGATAAACAGGAGTCAGAGAATGACAAAATAAGAAAAAGAAAAACTGAAACAGGAAAAAGTAAAGATAATTTTGTGAGAACAGAGTTAAACCATTCTGAAGTGACATGTCTATAACTTATATTTACTCTAAGGAGACTTGAATCTAAACGCAGAGATATTGCTCCTCGGTGCTGTACCTCCCTGCAGCAGCCACTAGATGGCAGTAAAGACTGCTGATAGTTGTAATGTGGTTCAGCCTGATCTGTGCTTCCTCTTGCGTTTCCCAACTGTTAAATAAGTTACTCATTTCAGATTCTACAATTTATTTTAACAACATTATATTTATATACTGTATTATTTTGATTTATATTATTTGTTCATCTTCTTTTAGATCTAGGATCCAATGAAAACTGGGAATATTTGAATTAGATACATGTATATATGGTGTTGATTTCAGAGAAAGAAAACTATAATAATATATACAAATAATATATTAAATATAAATAAAAAATATAATAAAAGACAAAAGGGAGAACTATTATATAAAAATATATAAAAGTCATAGCAAAGGAAATATAACAAATATACATTTTGTTAAAACTCCAAAAAAGGCTTTTAATCATCCACTCTTTTTATCATTATTGTTCTGTATTATTATTATTATTATTATTATTATTATTATTATTATTGTTATTATTATTACAGCACCTCTTAAAACATAGTTAGAATGTACTTACATAGGAAAAGCCACATTTAGACAAATATACTACAAATATAACAATGAGACAAGTAAAGGTTGGCAGTTAAAAGATCGACAATTAAATGAAATAAAATATAAAAAGATTAAAAAAGATAAACAAATACTGGAAGTGAATAAATAAAAACTAGGGCCGAACTGTCATCAGAAAATTATAAAGAACTGAAGGAAAGTCAGATCAGGTTCAGTAAATAAAAAACTTTAACAGGAACCTGCAGATATTAAACACATGTTCTGGTTGTCATTTCCCCAACAGCTTAACCAGTTTGCTGTGACCTAGAAGTGTATTAAATTTAGATCATCATCATCGTCTGCAGGAAGAGTGCGATCTCAAGATGTTCTACATCCACTTTGGAAAGGTTGGTCTGAAATTATTCATCAATAGTCTATTTTAAAAAAAGTACTTCCTGCCCTTAAAGATGTTGTTATTTTGTCA